TTATACTCAGCATCTTTTTAACTGATTAAGACATTCACATGTTTTTTTTAAGTTCAAACCAGCGGTCAGCATTGTTAGTTTTGTCTGATGGTTTGTTTTGTCTTATTCATGGATCAAAATTCTGGTTAGTTTATAATATTCTGAGAAGCTTCTTCTGTTATCCACTTGTATTTTTCTTCAGATTAGGAATTGTATGCTAATAGTAGAAACAATTGATTAACTTGTTTCTGTCTCCCGGAGCAAACAATAGGAGGTGAAAACGGGAAGAGAATGGTTTTTTTCCCTCTGTCATTTTCTCAACATTAATGATTTGGATATCTAACAAACAACCAGACCCTGGGCAGCTTTCATCTTTCTTTGCTTTGTTATTGTCCATTGGTTTTTTTGGAACCTGTCTAGTAGTTAGGTTCTGCATCTGTTGTGGGAAAATAAAGTCCCGACATTTATCCTAAGCACATTTCTGAACTGATGTATGTTTTTTCCTAGATAAGAGATCAATAAGTCTGAAATTTCTGTTTTTGGAATGCTTGTCTGTACAGGAAAATGAATTCTTTTCAAATGATGGAGTTCCAAAGAATCCATTCCCTAATGGCTGGAAAGGAAAGGCTGGGCTTTATGCAGTTGGGTTCACAAGGAGAGGTCTTTCTGGTGCATCTTTAGATGCTATCAGTGTAGCACATGATATTGCCAAAAGCTGGAAAGAAGAAACAAAGCAGAAGAAAAAATCTATAGCAGCAAGGCATCGGAGATGCATATCACATTTCTGAAACTATACTACCATCTTGAAGTAGTAAATGTCAATGAAATGTTCTTTTTCTTTGTATCTGCTCGTTTGTTCTTTTATTTGACAATTGATTGATCAGAAATGAGATCAATTTGCGTAGACAATAATGTAGAGCATACAGGACACAGGAAGTAGCCCTCTCCTCTCCTGAAAGAAAACCTCAACATCTGCCAATGACCGGGCATTTTTCTTTTTTGTACAAAGGAAGATGAGGCTAATTTATTGTTTTTTATCTTTTAATCTGGTTCCATTCTCTAAGAAACTCTGTTCTGCAACATTAATAAATCCACAAGTCAAATGGCGAGTTCCCCCTGTTTCTCTTTCCCTATTCCTGGTCCAACTAGACATTATTACTTCCTGATGGGACTCTCTCCAGAGTTTGGTCCACCTAGGGCCCATTAAAGACGGTGGACCCCAGTTCCATTATACCCAGCAACACAAATCCCTTCATGGCCTGATTCTGATTGACTCTATTCCAAAAGTTAGAAAAGGAGAAAAAAAAAAAAAGAAGTGAAAAGAAAGGTTTAGAGCTCTTTGCTTCCATGTTTTCTTTCACATGGCCAGAGCCCACAATGAAATGATAAGCAAATCTTATCTTTGGAAAATGTGGAGTATCAATGCAGGAAGCACAGACCACATAGTGAACAGTTTTTCATTCTTTATTTACTTGAAGAATGCTGGTGGTATTATGGGACTCATCTTTTAACTTCAGTCCATGGAAGATGAAACTGGATGTATCATAATGATTCCCAACCATCAAATCATAAGTTTTTAATGCCCTCGAATACATGACTTCAAGTGAAACAAGTTCAACTTTCTCTTGGAGCTATTTCAATAGCTTCAGCTGGAAATTTCTCGAGATCTTTTACTCACATTTATTATTTTAGAGCTAAAATAAGTTAACATTTGTTAAAAAAGTACATTTTCTTATTATGAGAACATTATTTTTTTTAAAAGATTAATTTTATTTTATAAAACGTGTAATACACACGTTTAAAAGTTTTTAAAAACTTTTTTACTTATTTAATATAAAATTAAAATATCTTATTTATTTTTTTAAAAGTATTTGAGAGAGAGGTTGTTGTCAATCATCTTAATTGATTCCTTTATGAAAGTGCTTGTCAAGGATCAAATCTATTTAGATACTATTTTGTCATAAAGTTATCACACTCTCTTCAAAAACTCATTTGATAAAATTTATAATATTTATGTTTATAAAATTTTTCATTTTGTCTATTTGAAATTAAAGCATGTTATTTATTTTTTAAAAAAATTTATGGTATGACACCTTTAATTAATCCCTGGAGTAGAATAAATTATTCTGACAAGCAATATGAAATTCAGCTCGGTTAGCTTGACATGGATCTTGATAGGAACTCAAGAATTGCAGAGTTAAGGAAGAAAAAGATTATATCGTGTTATAATAAACAATCAGTAATGTAGGAATTGCTATTCGAGTCTTTTCAGCACTACGATCCAGCCAAAGTTTTGCTTCTTTTTCCCAGGATTAACCTTTTTCTCCACTCTGGTTCAACTAGAGCTGGTTTCCCATATTTGACATTGGGAAAGTAAGGACAGAAAAAAAAAAGCTACATTTTCTACAAAAAAGAAACGTGCAAGCATAGACACACCATATGACCACCCATGCTGTTGATTCCAACTTGTAGAAAGGAAAAGGCCCTGACTGAATGGCCCCTACCGAATTCCTTCAACACCGCACAATTAAATATTTCCTATAATTTATTTTATCAGAGTGAGTCTCATTCCTCAAAACCATCCGCAGGTTTTTCTTGCTCAACTGGTTTCAAGAAAAAGCAAAGATTTGACATTTTGAAATTTGTACTTCTTCTAGCCTACGACATTAAAACTTGCAACTGTGCATCTGTCCAATTACAATAGAATTGTACGTTCTCACAAGTCTGCAACATCTTACTGGGAGATCACAGTCACCTAGAAAATAAAATCACATGGGCTGGTTGTTGCTTGTCTCTCTTCTTACTTCCATGGCAAAGACCCATTCCTTCTTGTTGGACAATAAAAGAGTTCACGGTTTTACTTGGCTACTACATATAGTAATTCTGTATTTTATTGTCATTAATAGATACATGCATACTTACATTTCTGTGCATTGGAGGCATGTTTTGCTTCTGCATGCATGCATGCATGGAAACATAAATGAATTGAAAATATTGAGCTTCAGATTTTGAAGTCAGGCAGAGAGCGACATTGACCCTTTCAATTTTCCAAGTTTCTTTTTGGAGAGCAAAATGTAAAGTTGTACGTGTTTGTGTTCTCAAATCATGGTTAATTCAGTTCTGACTTCTAAGGTTTAATAACCTCCCTAACCGATAAATATTTCATAAAAAGGAAGGAATTTTTATATATAAACCAAAGCATTCGTAGATACTGTGAACCAAAACCTGCCAACCGAAAGCAACCAAAACGTTGAGTCAATGTTCATCCTGACAGGATGGTCCAAGCCAGAGGTTTACTTACTAGGCATGGCTCATGACTAGACAACAAACAGAACCAAGCCTTTTAATCCAACAGAAAACAGTGCAAAATCAGATGAATCCAGACGGTGTTAAGCAAAACCCCAGTTCAGATAAGCAGCAGATGTTGCTTCTCAGAACCTCAAACTCACTAGTTGGAGAATGTCATGTTCCACATCACCGGCTACTCAAAAAATGTGATTGGGTTTAAACTTTGCTTCTCTGAAAGCTCGCACTCAAGTTCCTTCTCAGACTTTCATTGATTTGGTTTAAAATTTGCCGATACAAAGTCAATGAAGCATCTTGGAATTCATATTTTGGTTCAGAGCAGGATAAAGCTGCACCCATTCAAAATATATATTATACAAACCGTACAAACCAAGCTACAGCAACATCAGCTCAACTTATCAGTACTTAAAAGAAAAACAGCAGGGACAGTGCAGGGCAGAGGCCAAGGGGCGGGGGTGCTAGCAGGCCCCCCCCAAACCTCCCCCCCAAAATTTTACATTTTTTATAATTTAGTTTTCTATTTTTTAAATTTTATAATTTCCTTACAAAATTTTTAAAGTTTTTTAATATATTTTTATTTTTTTAAAATTTTATAAATTTATCTCAACAATAATTTTTTATTCAATGAGATATCTACACCAATTAATTTTAATAAGACTAAAATAAAATCTATTACAATAAAATTATTCTCTAACCTCACCTCTCCAACACTTCATAACCACCGCCTTTTATTTTTTTTATTTATCAAATATAATAAAAATAAAAAATATTTTTTATATTTTTCACTTACCCGTAAACCTCTAATTAGTAACTTAATTTTTATATCATAATTATTAAAAAGTTTAATTTATTTATTTTATTTTTAATATTTTTAATTTTATAATTTTTATTTGTGATTTTGATTTAAGATTTACCGTTTTAGTCATTTTTTGTTGAAAGTAACAAAATACGGATTTAATTAAATATTTAAAATTAGTTATTATTTATTTATTTAAAGATTACTTGATTACTTTTTTATAAATTCTTTGTATTTTTTTTAATTTAGATTCTATTTATTTATTTGAGGATTACTTGATTACTTTTCTATAAATTTTTTATATTTTTTTATTTAGATTCATATAAACAATTAAGTTTTTTATTTAAGATTACTTTCTCAATGAATTATTCATTGATATTGTGTTTATATTTTATAATTAATTTTAAAAAATTATTTCCTCATTGAATTGTTTATTGATAACTTTAATATTTTTTAAAAAAATTACTTCCCATTTAGATTTTTTTATTATATTTGTTAATTTTTATTTATTGTTAAATTGATCTAAAAATTGATATTATTAAGATTATTAAATTATTTATAATTAATTCTTTTAAATAAATTATTAAATTTAATTTTTAGAATAATTTTTAAAATTTATTTATATAATTTTCATGTGAATTTGTTTTCATCCAAATTGCTTTATATTTTATCAAACATTGAACTTATAGTATGAATGTTTCATAGACATTATCTTTAACTTTTCGTCCCCTCAAACATGAAATTCTGATTCCGGTCACTGGTGCAGGGTATGATGTGTTCCTACAAAACTTGCCAGGCGGTTGTGTATCAAAGGCTTACCAATTAATGTTACATGTGCCACCCATTTGGCAAATCTCCACCAATTTTGGTGGATTTGGAACCGATATGAGCACCATTCTTCCCTCAGCTGACTAGGCATTTGCCACGCAACACAGGAGGATACAAAGAAAGAAGGTACATTGGCTACCAAACATAACATATTGTTATACCAGGGAAAACCGATACTTTTGTCAACTAACAGGTCTCGAGGCAAAGACATCTAATCTACATATGACTTCACCAAGATCACAATATCATCATATAAAATAGCATTCTCATTCACATAAATTTGTATGTCACACCATGGAAGGAAAATTTTTTTATACCCTCATAAATACCCACATTGCATGCATTTTCACCATCTAGAGGTTACTTCCGGGTAAGCATTTGATCAATCTGACCGTTCTGGTTGTATGCATCCACAATTTTCTTTGCGTACGAAGGAATATGCTTATCAGCTCTGCATGTATTAATATTTTTGCAAAATTAAAAACAACCCTGATGGTATAATACAAATTAGTTGCTCAGTGGAATATACCTTTGTTTTCCCCAGGTGCGGTTCACATACAAATAGTTCCTTAGAGTGTGGTAATCAAGTGAATAACGGGCAAATTCCAGACCCTTTGGCCCAATCTGAACAAAATGGGGACAAAAGAATAAATTACATTTTCAGTTGCCTTTTAGAATAAATGTGTTGTATATATAGAAGAATCCTTACCAAGTTTAGCAAAAAAGCTATCAAATTCCCAATAAACATAGGGGCAGGTTGAGAAGGACCCTTTCCTGAAGGCAACAAAGAAAAAAACGTCAGGACGAGTATTAGATGGTGTGGACATTGTGAATCATCTAAATATAGTTCAGTCATTTTGAAGATAAACAAAATATGAGGACAAAATGAAATACAGTTATCAAGGCTTCTATAAGTACTTGACATACTGTATAAGCCATAATTTCCTTTGTAATAAAAGAATCAGCAAATGAATAAATTAATTCCAGTTTTACTTTTAAAATACAGAAAATAAGTTTGAGAAAATTCACTTAGCAGCATAAATTACATTTTCCTCACATTAAATTATCCAAAATAAACATATGAACTCAACTAGCTGCAGTTCCAAACCACAAGACCTGCACCATATTTCCATTTATAAAGCTTGAAATGCTTATGCACTGCAGCCGAAGTGAAAATGATTTTAGTTAATACGAAGATGAAATACATACTGAACTTAGCATCATCATCTGCTTTAACAGTCTCCATAACAAATGGTTGCCGATTACCCTGAAATAAAATGTTTTGAAATCAGTTTTTGTTCCTCAAATGCTATAGCAGCTCAAGACAACATAGCTTTAGGGTTTACACTACTAGTTGTCGGAGTGATCTCCAAAAGGTTCTCTACCAAACTCAGCATTTCTCTGCCACGTTCATTTCTATAATGCAAAGCATTTAAATGAAAAATTATTTCTCTTGAGATTGATAGCAACTCAAGAATCATTATGCAATACAAGAAAGCAACAATTAGAGTGATAAGGTCAATTTTTATAAACTGAAAGACAGAAATGCAGAGAGAGAGAGGTGGGGCACATATAGCAAGCAGCTTGTGCACTTGATGTAGTAGAGAAAGTACCTGACTGTAACATATTGTGGGTGCTGTGTCATGCTGATTCCAGAATATTTTGGAACGCCCATGTATCCAACCACCAGATCCTGCGTTAGCCAAGAGAAAAGGATAGTTCCAAGTTGAGTTGTGTCAGCAATAAAGTGCAAGAAAACTTCCTTGGAGCTTCTATGATCAAATATTAACCCGGCAAGATCCAACATAGATACCAACTAAAAATGTAGCATAATATCCAGCAACATGCTGACAGTTCTCAGTTAATCAGGGTTGCAAAACATCTGACCAGGTGAACCTTGAGTGACAGAGGCAAAGGAATGCATGGACTGGCAATACTAATAACTAGCAAATAAAGAGAATAATATTCTTTTCTTTAACAACAATCAAGAAAATATGGAAAAAATGTTTTAAGAACTGAACTACTCACTGAAATATTAAAAAGAAAGAGTTAAGGGTCAAGGACTGAGATGTTAAACTCCAGCTAACTATAGGTCATTAAATCATGTTCTCAGCAATATACAACAATGACTTGAGTGTAGCCAAGTAGGTGATTAAGAGATTGCTCATAACCAATAAGGAAGAAATCTGATCATGTTGCACTAAAAGATTTCACAGACCACTTACATTTAGGGCAATTATTTAATTATCATATAAAAAACCATTCATCATAAAATGAACAAAAGCAATTTCACTGCCCTCCCATGTAAAGATATTGAGTAAATAACAAAGGCAATTCTATCAACAAATATAAAAATCGGAGGATCAGCTTGCTTAAATAAATTAAACTCACCGCTAATGCATTCGTGTAGTCAAAACAGCTGCAAAACACATGAAACTTTGGCTAGTTAGAAAGTTTTTCCGCATGAGGATACGCACAATATAATAGTTTTAGATCATATCTTAAATAACCAGAAAGAATAATATCATTTCCTCAATTTATATAATCCTTGGATGAAGAAACACTAAGAGCTCCCAATTCACAGAAGGAGACAGTCTTAGAAACCTATCTAGCCAAATTTGGCCCTCACAACTTTTACATGAGCATTTGCCTGGGAAAAACTTAAGTTGTTAAATCAAATGGACACAACAGGAAATTACCTATAGCAAGATGGAGCAATAACATCAACTAACTCGTTTGCTGGCAGACAGAAATAAGGAACCTGCTTTAGTTAAGATTTAAAATGGATGAAGCAGGATGAATGTGAGAAACAGCCCAGATTGAAAGTACAAGAGCTTTGTTACCTCTTCAATACGGCCATCCAAATGCTTTAAGTGGACCTAGCAGAATACAAAATAGCCATATAAGGGAAAAAAAACAAGCTGTATTGTGCTTTTTTGGTACTTATATCATCCCTCTTGATATGGGACAGCCAACAGTTAAACAAATACTCAAAATTAGCACAATATAAACATTTAAGTAATTAGTCATCAACCTGCCTTGATTGCATAAAATGTTAATCCAAAGCTCTCTCAACATAATGTAAATGGCTTAGTCAGTGAATATTATTCACATCTATTATGAACAAATGGAAAACAACTATCATCACTGTTTAATCCCAATGATGACCAATTACCATCTGCAACAATATATTCTACACTTTTTGAGATTGTTTCTAAAAGAAAGGCAAGGGAAATATCATGAGGTACAATCTCAAGGCACCAAGTAACCTACAGCTCACACCTCTCCTTTATTTAAATACATTGAGACTTTACTACCATAAGAACTATGCGCCATGTAAGTTGCCAGAACGTTGCTCACAATAACATGCTTTACTCCCACAAACAAATATCTTAATGCATAACTTGAGACAAATAAAAGGAGTTTTTCAGCACAAACCTTGTAATCTTGCATAAACTCATAATGCAGAACAGTTTCTGGTTCACTACTTGCTGCCTTTAGAAACTTATCTAGGCCTTCTCGAGTTCCATTATCAACTGTTGAATAAGAGTGTTCATAATGATTGAGATGTCCCATAATTCAGGTACTAAGCAGTCTAATGTGCATATCATTTATCCATCTAATGATTACGAAGTTCGAAAAGATACAACTAACAGAGCAATGATGAAAACATAAAACCTAACTGTTATCCAAGTACATAACCTGGAATAGTTTAATCTCATGGTAACTGATAACAAATCTAAATGAAAATCATTCAAATTCTTTCAGTACAGAAGACCTATTTGTCTTATAAATAAATAAAAATGCTATTCCAGACGGACTATTTATAAGTTACATAGATACTAGCTAGTTTTGCCTAACATGATTTTATAAAAGAAAAGCTGCACAGATTAAAAAGAACAAAAAAGAAGAAAATATAAACTTTCAATTACCACAATTGGTGCCTAACACATAAAGCTTGTCCAAATTTAGATGGTGCTCCACAGACCTTAATGCTGCAGTTTAAGAAATCACTCTGCATTACAATAGTACAAGTCATAATATAGAAATAAGCATAAAAAGAAACTGTTAGGATATAGCATCAAGCATACCCTGCACTTGGCATCCCACACCACAGAAAAGGAGACGTTTCACCCCAGCAGCCTGTAAAATTGAAAATATGACCATTCAATCTCACTTAACTTTTACATTGGAAATCAAAACATACAACTATGAGAGAGTTTTTGTCAGAAACCACATATTCACAATCAGCAAATGGTAGAAATGACAAAAGAAAAGCAACCAAATAAGTAATCATTAAATATATTATTCATTGATTAGAGTTTTTTTTTTTTTGTTTTTTCATATAATGTTCTGCAGGATAAATATGACATCTTATCTTGCCACTTGACTAGGTCATTGGCATTTTCATTGCCTTTTCTTTTGTTTCCAGTTTTTAGGAAGGTTAGGTGTGCAGTAAGGTAAATGGGTAGACTGGGTTCATCTTTTTTTGATTAAGTCAGTGCTAGTTTGTCTGTCTATAATTAAGAGTCTAGGTGGTGTTGCTGTCATTGTTCACCAACTCCTCCATAGTAGTCTTGTTCTACAAAAAATGCTTTTAAAATATGAGCTCCCAAAGACAACTAAATAGCCATCATCCATGGTTCTAAAGCATAAATGATATAAGTTCTCTACAAGTACAATCAAGAATGAAAAATACCTCAACCAGGGCAAGGGTATTCAGATTAGGAGACAACGTTGGTTTGACTCCTTTAGCAGCTAAAACTTCATCTGGTGTCCTGTCGGAAACAAGGAGTCAAAAGGAAGATTTTTTATATCAGAAGGTAAAATAAGTAACATAATTAAGTCAGTAAGTTCAAATTTGGGAAAGAGCAAATAAAACTAACCTAGCTAAAATGGGCCTTGGTGACAGTCTGTCATCTGGATCACTGCATAAAATAAACGTTCAGATAACAAAAACAAAGTGCTAACTTTTTTAATTATAAACCATGTTTAGTTCATCCTTTATCAATTAATGACAATTCCTACCTCTGAACACAAATAACAGCCTCAACCATGCCTGCTTTGAGCATTTCTATTGCAATAGTTGTAACTATCCCAGTCCACTGAGCTCCTAACAATGGAGAAAATTGCAGCGTGCATGAAAATTAGGCTGCAGATCAATATTATGGATAATGCAAAGTATTATTAACCCCACATCCTCCCTCTTCACCCTTCAATACCAGAACCCTCTCCTCTCCCCTGCCCCCATCGACAAGCACACAAAATAGAGGGCAGTTTTTTTTTCAAAAAAAAAAAAGAGGAAAAATCCCATGCACTGAAATTTCCATTTATTTCACTTTAATTCAGATCTTTTTATATTTATCAAGAGGCTTTTTAATGCCGAAAAAAAGAGGTAGAAAACCCCATATTAGGTACACTATATTAGAAAAACATAACGTATAGGTGCATCACTATGATTCATTTTAGAATTTCCAAAATCAGCACTAATTTACCTTTTGGGCATATTTAAATTATATCCACCACTCTCCAAGCTCTGCAAAATAATCTCATTTCTTCCCCCTTTCAAGTTATAAAGAACATCTTGACAGTGCATAATTTAAGTTCCAGCTGACAAGACCTGTTTATTAACAGTATTTCAAAAAATTAAACTTAACCTCAAAGTTACTTTAGGATGATTTTTACAAATTTTCCCTTAATTTGAAAAGATTTGGACGTAAGAAGTATGTGGTACCCCCACCAGACTCCCTCAGAAAACCAAAATTGGATAAAATTAATAGAATTGATGTGCAAACATAATGACAAAGCACCAAAGAACAAAATGGCAACAGACTAACAGAACATAGGAGATTTTCGTAATTTAGAAGGACATACCTTCTACTGGCTTAGTTTTACGAGCATATAGCTGCTTTTCATACACTCCTAAATATGTCTCATCCAAGGAATCTGATTTCCTCCCTCTACCATGAACTACAGGTTCTAAGCTCTGAAAACGAAAGTAAATTAGTCAAACTGCTTTTATAACATCAAACCAGATTCTTATGTATTGGAATTACTGTACAGGCCAATACATAATTATTCAGGTATATAAGTTTGTTCAGAACTAAAATATCAAATAAACTAATGCAAGAAGGTTAAAAGGTAGGAAGAAGTCACAAACTTATGTCACTCTATTCGTAAGTGGGGATATATACTTTAGAATTCTATTTAAAGTATAACAGAAAGACGTAGAATCTTAAAGCAATATCTTTCATAAGTTACAAGGAAATTCTAGAAATAAGGTTTTCTAGGACCTCTCTTTTGTAGGTAAGTTATAGCTACCATTAAGTTGTTGCCTCAGCCAATTCAATAGCAGCATTTACATGCAACTAGATAGACCCGTCAAATAGTTAACCTGGCTCACAATTTATACAGGCCAAGTAAGTTGGAATCAATTTGAAGCTTTTCCCTGATACTAGATATGGTGCAAGCACACAATTTTATTAATATTTTCATTCATGTTTTATAGTCGATTATATGTATAACTACATTTGTCTTGTGAAAAGGTGATTGATTAAGTAAACTAGCATCTTCCTTTCATGCTTTCTTATTAACAATTATTTTTTTTTCTTTATGTAACTAAAGCAAGCCCTTTCTAATCTTTCAGACTACTTAAGGAACATAAAAATTATGTCTGACTTACTTCAATTTTGGACATTCCATCTCCCAAGAAAGCACAAGCATCCTTTACATGGGCAATGTAATATGTATCACACAACCCACACCGACTGCGACATAAGTTAAAAGAAATTATATACCAAAAAGCAAAAACCCAAACAAAAATGAAAACCATCAAACAATCTGAACAAAGAATCATGAAATGATGGGTATTAAACAGAAAAGAAGGAAAAGAACCTGCAATGGTCTTTGGCTGGATAGGTACCTCCTGGTGGTATAGGCTTAGAGCGTTTCCGCCAGTCCTCTCTCAGCTTAACTGTTTTCTTCGCATTGGAGTCTGATTCTATTACATAAAAACAAAGCCTAAATAAATGGAACACCAGAACGAGGCATGCTTTCATGTCTTAAGTGTAAAAGAATTAGTGGGTACCTTTTGAAGAGGATGAAGAAGAAGAAGCAGAAGAGAAGATGGGTCGTGAGAAGCTGGAAATAAGTGAAGTCATGGCAGCCAGCCCAGCTAACAGAAACTCGGAAACAGATGCTCGAAAGAAACTACGGTTATGAGTGCAGTCTGCACCACATATTTCTTATTATAGATTATTATGCCAAAATCCATTTTCAGTAAATTACGAAAATGACCAATATTGAATTAAAAATTCATTTTTAAGGAAAATAAATGTATCCCAATTTTTTTTATTTAAGAAAAAAAATTTAAAGCTTATTCTTTCGATAAAAGATTATGTAACAAACAATGATCCGAATAATCAAATATTGAGATAAATGTATCCCACTTTTAATAATGTATGGTCATACACTTCAACATTATGATTCTCTCAATTTTCATATCAATTCTTTCATTTAATTCAAAAATATAAAATTATTTTTTAAATTTCAATCGAAATTATATGAAGATCTATTAATTTTTAAAATGAGTACTTCGTTTTAAAAATTACAAACATTAATAATAAAAATTATGAAAAAACAAAAATATTATTTATTTTTTATTAAATTAAAATATTATTATTATATTTTTTAAAAAAAATAAAAAACTAAAGAGCCCCAAATTGAGCTCTCTAGGGAAATCTGATCTATCACATGAGGAGTTTTTTTTTAATTAATAAAAATAATAAAAAATATATTAATAATTATAAAAAAATAAAATTATTTTTTTATTTTTATCACGACAACAAGTTAAAAAAAATATTAATAATTGATTAACAAATAAATCTACATAAACAATAAAAATATTTTTTTGAGATAAAGTATTCATTTCGAAAACTAATAAAATTTTATATAATTTTGATCAAAATTTTAAAAATAAAAATATTTTATCTAAAAAATAAACATTTCTTCTATATCAGATATGTCAACTTTTTTATATCATACAAAATAACTTTATCCAATATTTCTTGTAAATTTTTTTTGGTAGTTAAAATTTCAAAAATTAAATTTTGAAAAAAATTTTAATTTCACACAATTTCTTAAAAAATTATAAACGGAGTTAATTAAATTTAAGTTAAAAAAATGCAAAACGAACACTCAATTTGGAACAAAAGTAGAAAATGAATGACCAAATGCATTACATTACACTGTAATATTATACAGCTTAAAACATTTTTATTAAAAAAATTATACTAATCAGGTAAACACTTAAAAACAAGAACAGTAACAAATTTTTGGAATGAAACTTTTAATGACATAGTCCAAACCGTACACATAGATGGAGATTGCATCGAAGGCCTTTCCTTGTGGCCAGATGCATCCAAGGCTGGGAGAAGCCTTGGATTTAACACCGTCAAGACAACAAAATCAACTGTTTGAATTTCTAATGCATTAAGCACCCGAAAGTGTTCCTTCACAAATACAAAAAAAAATGCACACTACAAAGTTACGGGCTTCTTTCCTGTATCATTGTCCTTAGTTCCTTTCGAACATTCAGTGATTGCCCCCATCAAAATTTGATCCCGGAAACGAGAACCAAGTGACTGCAACAAAAAGGGCTTTCTTCTTTATTGTCTTCTCTCAAATAATTGACAATTAGATTATTGCCAATCAATGCTAGTTTGATTCGAGATAAACTCATTTTCCTTCTATTATAAAGAATGGGTTGTATAATTTGACTCAAATATACAAATCACGACCTCCCTCTCATCAACAAAACAAGGGAAGGCAAACCCAAAAAAGGCAGATGCAAGTATAGACCTCGCTTGACAACATATCTGGATTCAGTATGAAAGACGCTTGGTGGTTCTTCGTCTTGCTGGCCCACCAGGAAAGAGCTTCATAATCCACCCTAATACTCTTTCCACCACCTACGAGGAAATTAAATAGTTATTAGAGTTTAATGTTTTTGTTCTTTGAAACTCCTCAATATTTCTTTTATCTGAAATTTTTAGCGATGATTAGATTAACAATATACAAAGGCTCAATCTTCTCATAAAATGGGACTTACAGTCCAAAAGTGTGCCATGGACTTCACACCAGAGAAAACATAATATTATCAATAACCAATTATGTTGTATTAACAATTAATGATACATGGTCATGATACTATAAGAGAGAGTAAGAGAAGTGGTACCTCATCACCCTCATCAGCATATGGAGTATTATCATGCATTATTCGAGACTCAGGTTGTCTAGCTGGCATATGCTCAATTGCCATATTTTGGGCTGTCAGAAGCTCTAATCTTTGAGTTTGGGCTTCAAGTTTCCTCGACAACTCCATGTTCAACTCCTTCATTCATCAACAATAATAATAAGAACAAGCTCTAAAGAAAGGAACCTTGATAAATAAAGATGTTCTTCAATTCCACATTTCTAGTTGAAAATATATCTTTTAGAGATATCTGTAAAGCCTGAGACAGTAACTAGCAGTAAGACCCAAATGAGACTGATACAAACACTTGAATTCTGACATGTCTTGTTCAGGAAAATTACCTTCAGCTTTGAACTTTGAGATAACTCAGATGACAAAGCTTGTGTCAGTTCTTGTTTCTCCAATGTCAACTGCAAGAAAACGTACTCTAATGATCATGACAGGTATCTCTAGAAACCAACTTCAACAACTTAATTTCTCAATTGAAAAAGGAGAAAACCATATTAAACCCACAAAAAGATCTGAATCATGGAACAGAAGCTACCTCAGAAATTAGAGAATTGATGTTTTGAATCATTCTAATTTGATCAGGAGGTATATAAACAGAAGAAGCTTCAAATTGTCCATCTTCAAGCAGCAAGCTCAAACTAGAGGCATCATTAGTGTTATTCATTTCCCTGTCATCAGAAGTAGTGTCTGTGCTTGCTGCAAAAGTTCAGTAACTAGACTCAACACCCAATTAAGGACCATGCAAAATCAAAGAAACATTAGGACACCATTATCATTTTTACATTGCTTATCAGGCTTCTCATAATTGCTTTAAAGCACTAGCAGCTTGTCAATATGCAGTGCAATGCTTGTTATGCATTCAATTTCCTTATATGTAGCTCAAACTCAAGTTCCAGTTAAGGATGTTGCTATTAGTCTCGCACAAGTACTTTTAGCTTTTCATAAGTTTTTCCTTATATGTACAGCTATGCAGGATGATATGCTTATATCAAAGAGTACTTTGAAGCGTCTGACTTCTGCACAAAACAAGTATACTACGAAATTGAAGAGTTGAGGTATTTTATCCATCATCCTAATACTACCTAATCTGAATCTTCCACAAGACCAAATGCTTCCAATAAAGACTCATTAGTGAGCAACTAGTATATGAAGATATTTATACTTCTTTTCACATACATAAATATTAAATTCAGACTCCTGTGACAAGCAAAGGTCCTGAAAGGAGCACTAACAAAATACAGCACCCAGAAGCCCAGTTACTTGACAATTTAGGCAAAAATGGAATTGTGATGCTGGACTCTTGGGCAGAGACAGTAATTTATAATTTTAATTATGTTTTAATACAATAAAAATCTCATAGTTATCCCTGAGATTTTCTCAAAGATCGTAAAAAAAAATTAAAGGACACTTTTTGCAATACCCTAGATCATTATTCATCAATAAGTGATTTCTTAACCAAATTACCTGGCAACTCATATTCGGCATTTAAAAGTAATATTCCAACATCTGCCCTTGTGCTTTAACACACACCAGCATGACCTAAACCTAAAAGGCATCAAGGCATGAATCAAACTAGTGATCCCTACCTTTAACTTTAAGATTATGTAAATTATACTATACCCAATTTCATGCAACCAAACCACCTCTCTAACACATACCATACAAGAAAGTCCAGAGACATTGTAGACCAGCAAGAAGGGTTTTTGGTCTCTACATCTCACTAAGTTTAAGTCTACTCAACTTGCAAGGGTAGACTACTATTAAGTAAAAGTTGACCTTGCACAAAATTCATCCAACTCTGACCAAGAATATGTTGGAATCGGGAACAAGCTTAGTAGCCTCCTACAGTATGCAACTGGATTTTGGTCCAATAAAATAAGACATGGCAATTTATGTAGGTAGCAACTGGAAAAGAGATACCATTACCAAGATCTTCTGTTGAAGTTGACATATCATTCTTACTAGCAGGAGTCTTAATAACATCAATAGACTTTCCACTCGCAGAGGCTTTTCGTAGCTTAGACTGCAGTACCTTCTTCTCTGTGTAAATGAATAGGAAAAAGACATAGTAAACATATGACTAACATAGAAAACAAATATAGAAACTTTGATATAAATATATATATCATAAAAACAAACACACCTGATATTAGCATACTTACCTTCTTGAAGAGCTTCAATAGTTGACTGAAAATCCTGACGCTCTTTCTCTAGGCTTGACATTTTCTTTCTGCAAGATTCAGAAGGAATAAGAAGTTCTACAACTATCAGAGTACTTAATTTAAAAATATATTCAAATGAAGTCTAATCCATGTTAATATTATAGAAAGTGGAAGAAACAAAGTCAATCCCAACCCCTACTTCATTTTCAAAATTCTTTATTTCCAACAAGATTAACTGAAAATAAATTTTCTATTCATGAGGCACTTAACAATAATTTACATGGCACAAGCAGCAGAATTTAATACCCAAAAAAAGGCGCTGTAAATGTATAGTACTTAAGAGAAAAAAAAATCCAAACATACTGAGGATCGGCTCTCCAATTATCACTAACCAAAGAATGATCTGAGGTTAAATGACATACAGCATAGCGAGATCCTAAGCGCACATAAAACTGACTTTCTAATATCATCCTTGATGATTTCAGTGCATGAACTAAAAACTTAAGATTCACTTTTAATTTTCTTTTTTCTTGTTTTTCCTTTTATTTTTTGCATAGATATGTCATGATAACTTAGGTAAAACTTTAATTGGATAAAAATTTCTTAGACAATCTAAGCACCAGTTTAATAATGGCAACAATAACCTCCTTTAATTCTCTACCAGGGAATTATGCATGAGCATTACAATCTAGAAGATACTTCGAATGCAGAATGTGTACATAAGCAGAGAACTATGGAGAATAATAAGAATTCAACTCATGCTGAACATATAGATCACA